TCCATGTGCAGCGGCAATGCCCACCTCTGCAGTGGCGCAGCCTGAAGGAGCAGGGACAATTCGTTCATATGTTTATGCAAATTGCAAAACTAAGGGTCCAAATGTGGTTGTGATGTAGGATTTCTTGGTAGCTTCCTTTTGTTCATTCTTTGGATGATGTTGTAAGATGTATACCAAGTATTGGCAAGAGGAGAATAACTTTTTCTGCGCTGAATCTATCCAGCAGCCTTGCTTCAACTTATCAGGCAGGAAAAATGCTCTGGTTTGTTTTTCACGCTACTATCTTCCCGCATAATCTGCAGCATTGTGACGGCTAGGTGACAGTGCTCACTTGCACAACAGAACCTGACACAATTTATCGGCAAAACAGAGCATCGAACTTAAAACAAAAGAAAAAATCCATGTAATTCTGCCAATACTGTATTCTAGTTTCCATCCTCCATATAGCTGTATAATTCATTGTATTTGCAGTTTAGTATACCAAAAAATGAAGCAACTCTACAAATTTTACAAGCACCTTGACATAGTTTTGCTGGGTATTTTCAACAAATGAAATTCATCCTATCGATTCCATCAAAAGCCATTATCTGTTTCTTCCGCCAAATCCAGCAGCAAAAAAGGAGCAGTTTATTTCACGGAACATTCAACTCTTAGCAAAAGTAGAATGTTGACCAAACGATGTAGAGCCTGAGAAAAGATAAGCAAGACATTAGCAAAAATACAGGAAACAAAATATTGTAATTTTTTGTACAACTAGGTCAATGCCCGTGCGTTGCTACTGGTTTAAAAATCCATGACAAGTACATATACACTTAGACCATTTTAACATGATGGTAGTCACATGAACGAAGCATAATAAAAATGCTTACATGTTGTTATCTGGAAGTTAATAATCAGAGGTGTAAAAAGAATTGAAGATATGACCAACTGTGTAACATTGACAAACTACTTGTTTGCATTAAGTTGAGCTGTAGGTACAAGTAACCTTTATACAAACTAAAATACCAGAAAAAACAATACATTTACATCAGTTGCTCTAAGTATCTGTGCAAAACTAAAAAGCTTGAAAGAATGGGCAACTAAAACCCAGTAAGACAAGATTCTTTCAACTTACAATTCCATCCAATGTGATGGAACTATCCTTCAGGAGATCCTTAAGCCTAGTTGTATCAATCTTATCAAAGATATCTTATCCTAACTTGTTTCCTACAAGACCAGAAGTGAAAGTTTAGAGAAGATACAGAAGAACAAAAGTAAGACTATTTTTCCGTACGATTTTTTTTTTGTCGCTCTTCTCTCGCGTCCGTGTGTCCCACCTCCACGCGACTCCGAATCTCCGCTCCAAAACATTCCTTTCCGGTCACGATATCTCCTCGTCATCGATCCCATAGGGCCCTGCGATCCCATCGCGCAGCCATCGCCCGCCGGCCTCGCTCCTCCGCCGTCGCCCCCCCTCCCTTGCGATACCGCACGTCCTAATCTCCTACGTCTGCCTCGCGGTGCGATTGCCTCTTCCGTCGTTCACTGCTCCGAGGACGGAGCGCCTAGACGGAGAAGGAGCGCCGCTCGGGCGCCTCGCTCCGCGCCGCCTATCCCTGCTGCCCTCCCCCACCGGGACTCCATCCGCTACGCGGGCACCTGCCTCCCCCACCGGGACTCCATCCTGGGCACCTGCCTCCCCCGCGTCCCGTTGCGCGGGCAAACTCGGCTCCGCGCCTTTGCCCCTGCCACGGCGGCACGGGAAGGACGGCAGAGGAGGCGAGGAGCAGGTGTCCAGGCGAGGTCGTGGTGCGGAGAAAGGACGGGGAGCCACTGGAGCGGCCCGAGCTGGAGGCCCCAACGCCGCGCTCACCGTGCGGGAGGTGCAGGTTCGTGTGCTCATCTGGTCTCCGATTTTTTTCCTGTGGGCTGTGGAAGTGAAGGAAGTTCCGTGGAGAGGACGAATCCATGGAGGTGCGGACGGATGTGCCGACGTCCTTGCAGACCCAGCCGCCGCCACGCCCATCTCAACCTGCTCCACTCCAACTGCCCTCTTCGTGCGCCGCTCTTGGCTGGCCTCCGCCGTCGCCATCTCCCTCGCAGTTCTGCTCGGTTCGCGCGCTGCTGCTGGGCCATAGCAAGGAGGAGTGCCGCGTCACGCTCCGCCATCGTCGTGCTCGCGGTGACGGCGATCTGGATCCGTGCCTGCTAGCTGCTCGATGAATAAGCACTGGCTCCCTCGCCGGCCAGACTCTCCACTCTGATATAGGTAAATCTTTTTTAATTATTTTTGCTTGGGTCATTGCCGATTCGATTCGATTGTTTCGATGCACATTCTGGCAGATCGTTGATGGGATCCCATCGGGGGTAACCAAAGATTGCGACTCCATCTGTATTTTTCACTCTTTTGCAACAACGTGAGCTGCTCAATCTGCTTCATTAAATGGAGCTCTGGCACTTATGAGTATTGAGTAGCTCTTAAAGTGGGAAAATAAGAGATTTGCACAAATTTAGTGGTTCAAACAAAAGCAAAAATGGGATACAATGATCAGTACAAAACAAATTTTGTTGTGAAGGGTTAGTAACAGGGAGCAAGCAAGCAATTTGTTTTTCTTTTTTTCTGAGCAGGAGCAAGCAATGTTTGCGTAGCAAATGCAATGTTTGTTTTCAGGTTTGTCTCAAAATTTTTTGGCCATGTAGATTTCTTTTTCAATGAGCTTTTGTCAGATCAGTCTGTCAGTTGTATCCTGCTTGTCGCTATTCGGTGTAGAGTTTCTATTAACAGTGAGCTTTTTACTCGGAAATGGCAAATACTACAGGATTCTAATGCACTGATCCTTGTTTTCCTCTGCCAGCTAGGACGTTTCAACTACATTCGCTTGTCTACAAAGTATGGTCTTACAGATAAATTCAGTTGTATGTCAGTATCTTCCAATTTATAAAATGTTTGACCTGTTGGTTGAAAATTCTTTGGCGTCAAAACCAAATGTTTCTGAATTGTTTCGCCATGTGCCTGTAGCTACGGCTGGTACTTCACGTTTGTGCAGGGGTTCGTGAAGCAGATGGTGAACCCGTGGCGGACCTACGTGCATAGGCTCCAATGGCCTCACTCGCCTTCCTCAATTACTCTGTGCAAATCATGTTTAAGTTAACCAAGGTAAAATTGGCCCCCTTCTTTTTTTCACTGTTCCCCATACGCTAGAAAATGTAATACTCAAAAAAATGTTGGAAGAACAATGTCCAATGTCTTTTTCAGCTAGCAATTTGAGTAGCACTGTAGCAGCAAAGTTCCTTTTGGTTTTTAGCAGAAATACAGTTCCTTTTTGTGAGGAAAAAGAAAAAGAAATATAGTTCTTGTGATATTACAATGCAGTTTGAAAGACTGAAACATTAAGACAGTTAGCACAACTATTAAAGAAAGGGTGCACTGGTGTACCTAGAAATGTCCAAATATGAAAGTCCAGCATCAGATTTGTTGTTTTGGTTAGGTGCCAAACTAGCCAGCTATGTCATGTATCTTTCTACTTTAGGGGTACGAGTACTACTTCTCTGGCTACAATGACAATAACTGGATTGGCAGGTAACATTGTTGATAGATATGATTAGCACGTTTTGGACTCTTCTTTACTTGATGTGTCTATTTTAAAAATTCTTGGCAGCTACGGTTTGATTTGATTTCTGTATCTAAGTGACTGAATTTCAAGAAAAAAACGATGTATTAGTAATAGTAATAGCACTTTACTTTCTTGTCATATGCGATAAAACACAAACTCATGTGAATGTTCAGATAATGATATATAACTACAAAGAAACATTCTGAGCAGAAACTTAATATACCAAACTGTATATGCTTACCTTTCCCGCGAATAGTACATTTCTTACTTTTTTTTTACATAATAACTAGGTAGCGTGCCCGTGCGTTGCTACGGGATAGCTAACATTTTGAACTAAAAACACACGGATAGCACGATAAGGTAAAAATACTGTAAAAATTAAATACCAACGTTAAAGTGATATTTAATCCAAAAAGCAAAGTTTATGAATTTAACGTAGTCACGGAGTGAGCGGTGCCGTAGGCTCACAAACTCTACTTTATAGACCTTTCCGTGATGCGGCTAAGATAATATTTTATATCGACAGGAAAAAATCTCCGATATCCATTTTTTTCGTGCGCCAATAAATCCACGAATAAGTTCCGCCGTATCTCCGTACCATCCTGTACACAGATTCGAGTATATATGTCAATATTAGTGCTTGTCGTATGGATAATACCGCGTCTCTTGAAAAATCTTCTATAAAAACTTAAAACAAAGTGTTATACTCACCGTATAAATATGTGTGGCTTTTGGTTTATTCCATACAGATATCCACTTAAGTGTCTGTGGCAAAATTCACTATCAGCAATATGTATAAATAGTTAAATCATAGGTATTATTATTGCAAGCGTGACTCTGAGTTAGTTACCCATTATGTCCTGTGCGTTTAGGATGTCAATGATCTATGATTTGCCGGAGATTGCCGCAGAGTGGATCGACACCCACCCAAAACAATATCATTATTATTAATTTATAATCCTTTGAAACAATATAAAGTTAAATACCAAAAAACTAATTCACAGCTATACATACTCATCTCTGTGGTTTATATAAAACAAGAAGTATCGAAGGGCTCTATCATTTGGAGGAACTATATCAAAAGAATCGGACTTGATTGTCGAGTAGTGTGTGCGTGCTAACGCTACGATAAAACTAAAGGGCTCTATCATTTGGAGGGAACTGATATCCTCTCGTAGCAGCTCTTCCTCTCGCCTGTGGCTTGCCGGCGCCGGGAAGGAGAGGGCGAGGTTGCGGCGGAGCTCACGCCCACCTTTAAAAAACATATAAACAAACTTCTCGGGAAAACTGACACACCTCTTGTAGATGTTTGCAAGAAGTCGGAGATCCACAGAGTACCTGTTTCTTCGTTACCATCCAAGCTATGACTTGCACTATGATTTTCATCTGGCGCATAGCTCTCTTTACTTACAAAGACAAATGGTTGTAAAACGACTGTCCAATTGTTCTCGACAAACCACCAAGAAAAACAAAAACCTTTAGGTATGTCTCTTGATCAGTGATCTTTTTTGCCATTGACTCAGATATGGTGACCAAAAAATCTTCGTAATCTTCATCAGATATGGATGACGCCTGCAAACACAAAGTAAAGAAATGCGCATCAAGTAAAAGCAGCCATGGACACCAAGCCATAATACCTCAAGCAAGGAGCAGACGTGCACATCACCTTCACTTTATCCGTGAATGAGAGTGATTCCTATAAAGAATGGTGGTCATCCTGGGAGGGATCACCTACTTCGACGAGGTGACTGAAGCCTTATAGGACGTGAGTTTGGCCAACAAATACCTGAGATAGGAATTCTTCGCATTTTTGTACTGTGATTTCACCTTCAGGATTTGAACTGCAACACAGAAGAGAAGAACATATGTAACCAGGAACAAAATGGATGGTTCGTAGAGTGCAGATATACTATTATAATACATGTCTATACCCTTGGTCAGCAATGTCCCGTGCCTGCCTAGACGAGCTCCTTGTAAGCATTGTCGCCCAGTTTGGCCTTAGCAAACATGAGGAACCCCACAGCCTCGTGAGTCCTGGGACCATGCATCTACAGCGCCCTCTTGAGCCGATCTTCATCACGGCTTCCTCCATCGTCCGCAGGCAGCATGCCGCGCCAGCAAACGCAAACACCTGCACTGCACGAAAATCCTGATTAGTGCAACATCAAGGAACACTACACCCTATACCACAGATCCAATCCTGTATTCCAGTACGATCGATCGAACTTCAAAGGAGCGAGGTTGAACCAGGTAAGAGAAAGGAGCATGTCCATCTCATTCGTAAGTAATAACTACAAAGGGTTCATCCCTGCAATGGAATTTAACCAGAAATCTGCTTAGCTTTCCTATTTTAGTGAAGGATTAGCAACATCAATTTGTTTCTACCGTGAGAATTGAGATCCAAACAACTGCAGGTAGCCTCACTTTTCTCCCAGAAATAGCTTATAGCTCTCATACCTATCTTCTGAAATTTGTGGTTCCCCTTAATATGACTATATGAGTCAACCTGTTTGCAAAGGTAATAGACAGAACAGGCAAAGTACAGAATCTGAACTGAAACTACTTACATTTTGTACAAAAAAAATAAGTATGAGTGATAAAGTGTAATATGTTTAGTCTGCTTACTTGGCTGAGTTATCAAATGAGCATGCAATTCCATAGGATCCATAATGACATATACATTGTCACCTCTGAAAAAAAAAACTCCACCTCTGAAAATAAAGGAAATATATGTAGGGGTCAGAGTATACTTATAATGTGACATGGATCAGTATTGTCGAAAATGTATGACATTTGTAAATATCTTTAGTATTTCCCTCAGTCTTCCAATAGTAAGATTGGTGTAAAATGCATCCCATGTGCACAACCCAAACCACTTTAGCATGTATGGCATTTGCAAGTTGAAAGTTCAGAACTCGAAACAGAAAGCAACACAAATTCAGATACCATTTCTCCAAGTAACATCCCACAACCTCATTTTTTTCCTGTGAGAAAATGTCTGCAAGTGCCTCTCAAGTTTCAACAGCTCTGCAGCAAGTTGATCTGCAAGAGCTTAAACAACATATCTGCATTTTCTTTCATTTAAATGGCAATAGCACATGATTGATTACTCATGAAGAAAAAGTTGAGAGCACATAGCTGTCACTCCAGTTCGGACCCAAAGGAAAGGAAACAATGGAATCCACCTCAAATTCACTAAAAATCGTCGAGAAATCAAAACTATTACCTTGAGGGCATTTCAGCAAACACTTGGACACTTGGTGGGCATCATCCATGTCAACCTGAGGCAATCGACGACTTCCAAACAGCAATGCTCGAGCAAAAATCCCCTCAATTCCAAGCAGCGATCTGAACATACAACCAACTTGCAACCCAGTCCACGGAATAAGCTGTGTGATCTACGTATCGGTCGATCTAACGGAGCCCTAGATTAGAAACCTAAATGTATAATCTCCATGAAGCCTGGACCTAGATGGCCTGGACTAACCTGGATGCTGAAATCACCGTCGAGGGAGACCTTGTGGGATCCCTCGCCCACGGTGAAGAAGTCCCCTGTGGCAGCGTTGGAGGCGCCGGGGCTTCGGCAGCCCTCGAGCATCACCAGGCGCTCCCGCTGGTCGAGGTCGACGGCGAGCGCGGCGAGATGTCGAACTCGGAGAAGAAGGGGCCCTGTAGGGCGGTGTTGACGCAGTGCATGGCGCAGAGCTTCCCCTCCTGCACCTCGTGGTACAGCAGCCCTTCCATTCTCATGGTAATTCCTTCCTTTATCGCAGCGCGCTGATCGCAAGTCGGTGTAGTTGCGGCTCGGGCGGGCGAGGAGGCAAGCGAGCAGGGAGGAGACGCCGCGGCGAGACGCGGCTAGATGGCCTTGCCGGGCGGGGCTGGCTCGGAGGGGAACGGCGGAGGTGTGGACGAATGCGTGGGGAGGGGGAGGGACGTGGGAGAGGCGGCGGCGGCTTGGGTGCGCGCATGGGGAAGGGAGGGAGCGTGATTGGAGGGGGATGGAGCGTGATTTGAGGGGAGGGGAGGGGAGGGAGCGGGCGGCTGGGGACATGATATCGCACGGACGGGAAGGAGAAGTGACTTAAAAAAAAATCGTACTAAAAAAATTATCTTAATTTTATTTTTTTTAGTTATAGGAGATAAGCATATAGTAGAGAGGTACTAATCTATTTCTGTTTAGTCATCATCACTCATCAGGTTCTACCGGTGATGATAATGGGAGCCTAGCTTTATCCTGGGTTTAAGGCGCAAGTACCCATTCCAAGAGTACAGATCAGCCGTGATGCTCGTCATTGGCCTCATACTCTTCACACTCTTGGATGCGCAGACATCGCCTAAATTCAGCTTGATCAGTGTGGCCATGGTGTCCGGGGCACTTGTCATGGATGCTTTTCTTGGCCATGGTGATCATCACTTAACTATGCTTAGTAGTATGTCACAAGTTCTTCTTCCTTTATCGAAAAAAATGTCACAAGTTCTTATCTGAGTAAAAAAAGCCAGATCTCTACCTTGCCATTATAGTCACTATGAAGTAGTATATACATGAATCTGTCAGAGTTATCTGACAATGATAAGAATCTTAGTAGCTCACTTTAGCACATCACTGATAATAGTTTCAGAATGTGCATAGCCCAATTAGTAGGAAAAGAATCAAATACGCCATGCTCTTTTATTGGTATATATCCTTCAAGGAATCCCTCTTTGCAATTCTTTATCGAGAAACAATCTCATGTTCTGAACACTTCATTGTAGTTTCAGAATGTTGCTACTTGCTAGCTACATAGCTTGTGTTACTGAAAAGGAGCTGGGAAACGTGAGGTTGATTTGAATACAAATATTATGGTTTATATACATTTTGACTTGCCTGGGTGCCTCTCTTTTAGACTTCAATATAAATACTTTGTCGAGTCACTATTATCTCCTACAACTAAAAAGAACAAAAGCAAGACAATTTTTTTTGTGCGACTTTTTTTGGGGTCGTTCTTCCCTTCTGTCCGTGCGATACCGTGGCTCCAACCTCGCCACCCCGTGCGCGTTCAAAAGGAAACCTCGCGCTGGACGAACCAAAAGGAAACCTCCTTAATTTTGTTCCTTATACATTTCAGCTATGCATATGCAACAGCAAGTATCCAACTCCATGCCTCTCATTTTTCAGATTGCATTTGAGAGTCAGGGGATGTATGCAAACCGCCACATGTGCCCACCACTTTTTTTTTTCAAAAGTCAAAGCACTTCCTGAATACGTTTTTAAGTAGTAAAACATGAACATCGAGTAGTCTGGGTTGTAAATAAACTATTTCCCCTTCTATTCATCATCAGGTGAATGCTTGAGAGTATCTGATGACTTTGCTTTACAGACTTGATTTAGGGCAGCTTTGTCTACTAATTGTCCAAGTTTTGCTGATGAACCACCAAGGTCCTCATCATGAAGAGAGCAAGATAACTCTTCTATTCAAATTGAGAGAAAATAAAGTTGATCTTTTAGATGCGAAAAAAGAAACTTACAATGGATTCTGTTTAATTGACAAGAAGGAGGCAGCAGGAATTTACCATGATAACCATTTTTCTGTATTAGTTTGCTCCAGGTTATTAATCCACAAACCTTGCAACCTTTTCTCAATGACAGGATGTTGATGTATGGAAGAAATATATAGATCATTTCTGTATTAGTTTGCTCCAAGTTATTAATCCAAATGACCCCTTATTGATTTCTACACTGAAAAATAATTGTTCTGTTGCACCATTGGAAGACAAGACTAACACCTACAAACAAGATAAGATAGTGTAGTATTACCCATGTGACAGGCACTAATATTTACATATATACTCAAACATGTGTACATGATGGTATGGAGATGCGACGGAACTTATTCATGGATTTGTTGACGCATGAAAGAAATGGATATCGGAGATTTCTTCCTACCAATATAAAATATTATCTTAGCAACATCACGGAAAAGACCTATAAAGTAGAGTTTGTGAGCCTGCGACGCCGCGCTCTCCGTGACTTGTGTTAATTTCACACACTTTGTTTTTGAATTAAATATCACTTTAACATTGGTATTTAATTTTTACAGTATTGATATCTTATCATGCGATCCGTATGTTTTAAGGATAAAATATTAGCTATTTCGTAGCAACGCACGGACACGCTACCTAGTAGTTAAATTAACTTCAAGTTTGATGGCTGCGTGATTGACCAATGGGGCCCGTGGGTCACCCTCCCTCGCCGCATCTTCCCGTTGCTGAGGCCGCCAGCCCGCCATTCTCCCTTCCTGATATGTCCACGTGATTAATGGCTACCCGGGTCAAAACAAAGAGGGATTTTCGGTATTTTTCTATTCTATTAATATAACTGGCCACACGGGCCAAAGGAAAAGTGACCCCATACACCGGGGTATACAGTTTTCGTAAATATGGACCATGTAACACTTTCTGGACATGGGAATCACCGGACATGCAAATTTAATTGCTATTTTTTCATTTTAAATTGTAAGTAGTTTTAGCTCTTCTAGGTATATAATTTTTGTTATGTATCTTAATATCTCAACATAAAATATATCTAGACACTTTTGGACATGGGAATCAAAGGACATGCAAATTTAATTGCTATTTTTTCATTTTAAATTGTAAATCGCTTTAGCTCTTCGAGATATATAATTTTTGTTATATATCTAAACATAACATATATCTAGTTGCATATAAAAAAGTATGTTCTTAAAAAAGCCAAAATGAAGTATAATTTAGAACGGGGTATGTGAAAATGGCAGCTAAATATTGTTCCCTCTGTATTAGAATTATAAATGTATTTTTGTATAGGAAAAGATCAAAACTTGACAAATTTTGACCAGCGATTAGTCAAATTGTATAGAGTTTAGGACAAAAGATTTGTATTCAAAATGGCTCTAAGATGATATTGATTGTTTACCAAAAGGTAACATATTGTAAGAGAAACTAATAATTAAAATCTATTTCACATGATTTTTTTCTAATCATAATATGCTTATCATGCAGTGAGAGAGTAATATATATTAGTTCTTGTCAAATGCAACTATACTGTTCTCGCCAAATTGCACAGCGTGGAACTGTCCATATTGAAATAATGATCACCCTAAAGATTTTCAAGAACATTTTTTATATTTATTTTTTATTAGATGTACACGTTATATAGGATTCGTGTAATGCCGCGGTTGGCATTAAATCATTGATAAACAAATGGTCTATTTGTCTAATTCTCAAAATTATTTCACAAAGAATATGAAGTGTTCAATAATCTATCTATTTTTTCCAACTAATGTCGTGAATCGCCCAAAAATACCTTCTCTTATAAAGATAAATAAACAGATCATAAGATAGGTAGGAAATACCATTAGTAAAGTATGATTAAGGTAACTCCACAATGGTAAGCTAGAATAAGCATCAATCGAATCTGCCAAATCATTTCACAAAGAAGTTTGAAACGTCCAGTTTTTTCTAATATATATATAATAAAAAATAAATAAAGAACAAATAACGGCAGAAAAAGGCGTGAGCTGAGAACCCGAGGGCTGAAACCCGCGCGCTCTCCAACTCCGAGACCGAAAACGCCGACTCCTCTGTTTTGTCCTGCACGCGGTCGCCGCAACGCAAATAGCTCTTCGTCCTGCCACCGCCCGGACGCCTCGGCTTCGGCTATATAAACCCTGCACCCGATTTCCCGCCTTCTCACAGCAATCCCAAGTCTCATCAGGAGTAAATACAAGAATTAGTAGCACTCCTCGCTCTCCCCATCAATTCCGGCGAATTCAGTCGTCGGACAGCGCTCCTCGTCCAATCGATAGGTCAGTCCGCCGATCAACAGTCCCGAGCTTGCTTGCTTGCTTGACTGCGACCGATGGAGACCGCCACCGTCGTTGTCGCGCCGGCTCCGGTGGCCATCACCCAGCCACCGCAGCACAAGCTTATGGAATTGAAGCCTTCCTTTGCCGCCGTGGCGAAACCGTCACCGGCGAGGAAGGCCAAGCCGGCCAAGAAGAAGCTCGCCGGCGGCTGTGGCGGGTACGTCCTTGAGGACGTCCCGCACCTCACCGACTACCTTCCCGAGCACAAGGTGAGTCCTAAGTTAATTCATCTAATCATCTTTCTTGACAAAGATTGCTTTAGTTAATCAGATGGATTGCTTTAGCTCATGTTCTTGATTCTTGTTCATGTGCAGAGCTACCCGAATCCCCTGCAAGACCACCCTGCCTACTCTGTTGTCAAGTAAGCAATCCGACGAATTATTGTTCTACCGTCTTCGATTTCTTGTTTCTTGTTGAAATAAATTAAACAAATCCGGCTTGCTCCGACCGCGCAGGCAGTACTTCGTGAACCCGGACGACACGGTGGCGAAGAAGATCGTGGTGCACAAGAGCAGCGCCCGCGGGACGCACTTCCGGCGCGCCGGCCCGCGTCAGCGCGTCTACTTCCAGCCGGACGAGGTGACGGCGGCGATCGTCACCTGCGGCGGCCTCTGCCCTGGCCTCAACACCGTGATCCGCGAGCTCGTGTGCGGCCTCCACGACATGTACGGCGTGACCAGCATCTACGGCATCGAGGGCGGGTACAAGGGGTTCT